GGGGGGGCTCTCTTCTCACTGACGCTTAGGTATCATCGGCTCCACCGCACAGACGATAATTGCGGACTTTATCTGATTGCGAGGATAAAGCTGTTAAATCTCCTTATAGCAATGTTGTACTCCCTCGCTATCAAAAACCGCCACGCTTTCAGCTGCCAAGCTTCATAAAAATCGATAAAATGTATCATTCTCATTGATGGATCATTTTTTAGCTAAGCAAAATGCACAATTATGATAAGGAGATGCGGACTATTTTATCTGAATAATAGTGACAAACGCAAATGTGGCGCGAGTGTATCTCCACCATTGTATATAAATCCTCCGCTTCATGTGCTCTGCGGCTAACAAAACCGCGTTCGCGCCTAAAGACATGCGATGAGAGGGTAGTGTACTTATCATTTGCTAGATATGTGGAAGCACGTACATCGACAAGACGGAGCGCCCTCTATGTACGCGGATCAAAGAATATCTAGAGGGCTCAAGAATCGAATCTGACACTCCACTGGGCATGCGCAAGCAGTTTCATAATGGCCAGACATACATGAGTGTAGATGTCACAATTTTAGCACGCGAATCCAAAATTCAGGCGCGCAAGGCATTGTAGGCGGTTAAGACTGCCGTCAAAATTCCAAATTTGAATAGGAGAGTTCATAGCCATCATTGATGAGTTGGGCGCTCATTAATACCTTTGTGGCTGTTAGGTCTTGCCAGGTCGCTGGGTACTGTAAGGTAGGAATTTAGTTGCTGGTATACAGTTTGCTCACCGAGCAATTATTAACCGCTTGGATAAGTGCTAGTTTGATCTTGCATTTACTTTTGTAGCTCTTGATTTACTGATGCATTAAACGCCTTTTCTGAGTTCTGATGCGGTTTTTGATGGAATAGATTAGTTATGTATTCGACCTTTGTCTCTGAAGAAGGCATATAGCCAAAACGTCAGCCAATATTTTCCGGTGCACAGCCAAAGCAGTTTTGAGCAGGTGTTCTAAGCATGACTATTGTTTGCGTGTTCGGCGTTGTTATCTGGTGGGACTGTTCAATTTCACAATAAGAAATGATTATTATTTTGCTCTTGAAATGATTCTTTGAAGGTATTTGAGGAGTACTTACTTTGGTATCTCAAATTGCACTTCAAATTTGAATCTTCCGTAAAGCGGCTATGCCAGCTGTTCTACAGTATGCTTATCTAGCATGTACATAGTGGCCGCAAAGTACGTCACATTCTTGTTTGCGAGATTTTTCAGACACAACGAAATTCCGCCTAATTATTTTCGCATGTCAAAAACCGAGGCATCTTGATGTGTTACTCCTACAAGGCTGGGCTCCTGCGCAGGCATACAAACTTAAGCAGCTTATAATGAACCTTTTTTATCCCTGCTGGGGTTCCGCTTTATGCGGGTCTGCTCTTCGCTTAAAATGTCTGCACATTTTCTTTTTGAGGCATGGTCTTCTTCTATTCCAATTTCTTGTAAGTTGGCTTTGCTTTTGTCCATTCACCTCATCCAAAAAGAATTTGGAATGAATGATTGGTGTTTGCGCTGAAATGTATCCAGTGATTATAAGTCGAGTGAATTTTCTTGAGCAAGTAAGGCAGTGCAAAGGTAAAAACACAAAAGGATTTGAACCTACACCTGCGTTGACTTATGAGGCTATCGCACTATCTACTAGACCAGAACGTGGCCGCAGTAGAGGCCGTTCCAATGACCACAATTACTTTGGGCGGCCAAACTTGAATCAAAATTCGCTATAACTTCTTTCAGAGAAACGATTAGCAGAAACGGAAGTCAGATTCGGGATCAGCGTTCGAAGACGAGTGTAACGGTGTGCATCTCGTCTCAAAAGGTCACGGACATTGAGTATCGTTTCCCTGTTAGGCTTAAGACGTACCTCCCGCGATTAGAGTCGCGTCGCGGTTTTGAACTCGACATATGTTCTTAGTCCGCAGCACGCACGCCCCCAGCTGTGTGGTCCGGTCGCGTCTGTATTAGATGGACGCTGTGACGAATCGCGGGCTTTTTGGACGTGGAACTCTTAGCGGAACATATTTGCGACTTCGCTGAAGTCAGCGATGTCGCCGTCGCTAAGTCTGCACCAGCGGTGGGCCAATCGCTCGTATGGCTTAGTAAGTTCCATGTTTTCTCCTCTCTGAACCTTGGCATTTGGAATTGATGTTAGTGGCTATACTATGTTATGCCAGTGCCAGGTTTGTAAGGTGGAATTCTTTATTGGCCTTACGTTTCGACAAATTTGTCTTCGTCGGAGGCCTGAAAGTAGATTGCAGTATTATCTTAGCAAGACCAGACCGCCAAACGCCTCCCCGCACTGCCGAGTCTAGACCCCGTCCCGCAATCAACATACTGGGACACGCGATGAGAAACGAACCTTAATCCACCGTTATGTTAGTGAGAGTCAGTAGAGTCAGTACGTAGCCGCACTGGAGAGACAGACTACACTGATTTTTGCTCAGCGGTCGACACTTATATACGGGCAGGCTACCGCTCACAGATCGTTAAGATAGGCAAGAGTTCGGTTGTTATCGATACGCATTCGTTTCTGTTATTCATGCTAGGGTTTCTAAAAGAAATCCACGCTGCTTCGACGGTCTTTCTCACTGAAATCTCTGCCTCGTATGACAAGATAGTACATTTAACGCCAAATTCACCGCCGTTGTGCGTTTCAATTCTATGTCTTCCCAAAGGTGACATCGCATTCGCTCGTCTCATAGCCGCTAAATGCTCTTTGAGTCTGACGTTCAGCAATCTACCCGTTTCTCCGATATATGTCGCCTTACAATTCAAACATTCCAATTCATACACTACTCCAGCCTTTGCGCAATCGCCTACTTTTCCGTATGGACAGACAACACAATGCTCCGACAAACATTCTGCGTCGTAGAGCCTATTTCTTACCAACCGCTTCTTGATGTTCTCACTCGGAATGTTCACAAGTATAACATCATTCTGCAGTTGTGCTCGCGTTATGCATTGTTTTATTGCTGCACTAAATTTATCGGAAATGTAAGGCATGCACAGTGGTAGTTTATTGTCATCGCGAGTTGGGCTACTTTTCGTAAACTTTGAAGAGCAATGGAAACCTTGTGGTATGTAACCATTGCTACGCGCAATCTGTGTAGCCAACTTTTTGGACTCAAGTCGTTCCTGTTCACCCGTGCATACACTGATAGCAGTTCGAAACATATTGCGTACAACGGCTCTTTTCACTGTTGACGGATGCGCTGAGTTGGCATGCAGCAAGATGTTCTTCGAACTTTCCTTTCTGTACCATTTCATGCGAATGGTAGCACCAGATAAATTTATCTGGGTATTAAGAAGGGCAAGCCATCCATTTTTCGGGGTTTCTCGTGTAAGCCTGATGTACCGTGACTGCTGGTTCAGGATTTCAAAGTATTCGTCCATTTCGGATTGCGTCGATGTTATAACGCAGCAGTCATCGATGTAACGACAGTACATCAATGGCAAGCGTGCAAGAACTGGTTCCTCAATCTTGCTCATGAAGCAAATCGCAAGGACTGGGGCTAGCCGTTGTCCCATCGCTAATCCTCTTATCTGCGAGTAATAGCTCCCAGACCATTTAAATATGTTACAGTTCAAACATTCTTTGATGAGGACCAGTATGCATGCTTTGCTCAAACCAAAAGTGACCATGTTGGGATAATGAATGTCCAGCAATTCAGACAAGGCTTGCAGTGCGTCATCGTTCTGAACGTCCGTGTATAAAGATGTAACGTCGAAAGATTCGATACACTGTTCCGATCAATTTTCGTACTGCGCAACTGCTTTATGAATTGCTGGGTGTTGGATAAATGCGATGGTACTTTTGGTAATAGTTGGCTTACGATCTTATTCAAAAATCACGAAATCCTGTCTATAGGGCCACCAACACAGCTTATTATTGGGCGCACCTTATAACTTGTTGCTGACATGGAGTGAATTTCTTCCGCTGTTATTTTATGCGTTTTCAATAGATGATAGAATACCGGACAAATTGGGTTTTCTAAATTCAGTCTTTTGATAAATCTCTCCCCCAGTCCTGCAGATTTCGCTACATTAACCCAAACATCGTTCAGCTTTTTGCACTGTGTCTGGTACTCTTTTCGTGAAGAACGCTGTAGATCGTAGAATCAGCAAGATGCATTTCTGCGATCTCTCTATCTAACGTTTGTGGCATTATTACGAATTCACCCCCCCCCCCCCCTTGTCGCTTACGGAGATACGGATATATTGCTCTTTCAAACATTCGCGCATTTCTTCGAAACCTTGTCGTTGTTCTCGCGTTAAATTAGTCTGACGCACATTCTTATATCGTTGCAGAACTTTTGAAACTTCAGTTGACAGCACGCGAAACTTGCTATCAACAGAAAGCATCGGACTGGGTTCTTTATAGAACGAGCGAGAAAATGGCGGCGAAGGTAGTAGTGTAACCGATGGTACGAGTTGTGGGTCACTCTCCTGTTTAGCTTTTACTCTTAACATATCGCGCAGTTTCTGCAAGTTTCCCATAACTTTAAGGCAAATGGAAGCGCTAATATTTTGTGACGGTGAAAATGACGGGCCGAGATTCAGGAATTCTTTTGCCTCTGTGGATAAATGAACATTACCGATAACAGTAACTCTTGCACTTTCGTTCTCATTTGGATCTGGACTCTCTTGGAATGGGTGGAATTCGGGTAAGGATTTCTGATCGCGGTTCCCACGTAGTGATTTTGAGAGGCGGTCGTACTTCATGCGCAGTTTGGTTTTGGCCTTAGACCGAATGGAATCACAAATTGACTTCGATCCGCTCTCAATCCTCCTCCAAATATCTTCAGGTAGAAAACGCTGACAATACAACTCTTTGGCTTTACATTTCAATAACGTGCTATATAAAATTCGTTGTCTTTCCTTGATGTTAATCTTCATCATCATTTGATAAACACCTCTTATCTTCGGGTCATTTTCGGAAAGACCGCAGGTAGCTCCTATTTCTTTTTCGAAATGAAAGCAGGAAGCACTCCATTCTTTCTACACCGTTGGAGGAAGATAACTGACTGCCGAACTGCAACTGCTCGCTGCCGAAGCAAGAGGGCTTCACGTACAAGGGAGAAAAACTGTGGCTGTATTCCAGTTAGTAAGTTCCATGTTTTCTCCTCTCTGAACCTTGGCATTTGGAATTGATGTTAGTGGCTACACTATGTTATGCCAGTGCCAGGTTTGTACGGTGGAATTCTTTATTGGCCTTACGTTTCGACAAATTTGTCTTCGTCGGAGGCCTGAAAGTAGATTGCAGTATTATCTTTGCAAGACCAGACGAGAGTGACCCACAACTCGTACCATCGGTTACACTACTACCTTCGCCGCCATTTTTTCGCTCGTTCTATAAAGAACCCAGTCCGATGCTTTCTGTTGATAGCAAGTTTCGCGTGCTGTCAACTGAAGTTTCAAAAGTTCTGCAACGATATAAGAATGTGCGTCAGACTAATTTAACGCGAGAACAACGACAAGGTTTCGAAGAAATGCGCGAATGTTTGAAAGAGCAATATATCCATATCTCCGTAAGCGACAAGGGGGGGGGGGGTGAATTCGTAATAATGCCACCAAACGTTAGATAGAGAGATCGCAGAAATGCATCTTGCTGATTCTACGATCTACAGCGTTCTTCACGAAAAGAGTACCAGACACAGTGCAAAAAGCTGAACGATGTTTGGGTTAATGTAGCGAAATCTGCAGGACTGGGGGAGAGATTTATCAAAAGACTGAATTTAGAAAACCCAATTTATCCGGTATTCTATCATCTATTGAAAACGCATAAAATAACAGCGGAAGAAATTCACTCCATGTCAGCAACAAGTTATAAGGAGTACTCTGCGTTGATACCACTGCTGCTGTGTTGGTGGCCCTATAGACAGGATTTCGTGATTTTTGTAATAAGATCGTAAGCCAACTATACCAAAAGTACCATCGCATTTATCCAACACCCAGCAATTCATAAAGCAGTTGCGCAGTACGAAAATTGATCGGAACAGTGTAGTCGAATCTTTCGACGTTACATCTTTATACACGGACGTTCAGAACGATGACGCACTGCAAGCCTTGTCTGAATTGCCTGGACATTCATTATCCCAACATGGTCACTTTTGGTTTTGAGCAAAGCATGCATACTGGTCCTCATCAAAGAATGTTTGAACTGTAACATATTTAAATGGTCTGGGAGCTATTACTCGCAGATAAGAGGATTAGCGATGGGGACAACGGCTAGCCCCCAGTCCTTGCGATTTGCTTCATGAGCAAGATTGAGGAAACCAGTTCTTGCACGCTTGCCATTGATGTACTGTCGTTACATCGACTTGACTGCTGCGTTATAACATCGACGCAATCCGAAATGGACGAATACTTTGAAATCCTGAACCAGCAGTCACGGTACATCAGGCTTACACGAAAAACCCCGAAAAATGGATGGCTTGCCCTTCTTAATACCCAGATAAATTTATCTGGTGCTACCATTCGCATGAAATGGTACAGAAAGGAAAGTTCGAAGAACATCTTGCTGCATGCCAACTCAGCGCATCCGTCAACAGTGAAAAGAGCCGTTGTACGCAATATGTTTTCGAACTGCTATCAGTGTATGCACGGGTGAACAGGAACGACTTGAGTCCAAAAAGTTGGCTACACAGATTGCGCGTAGCAATGGTTACATACCCACAAGGTTTCCATTGCTCTTCAAAGTTTACGAAAAGTAGCCCAACTCGCGATGACAATAAACTACCACTGTGCATAGCCTTACATTTCCGATAAATTTAGTGCAGCAATAAAACAATGCATAAACGCGAGCACAACTGCAGAATGATGTTATACTTGTGAACATTCCGAGTGAGAACATCAAGAAGCGGTTGGTAAGAAATAGGCTCTACGACGCAGAATGTTTGTCGGAGCATTGTGTTGTCTGGTCCATACGGAAAAGTAGGCGATTGCGCAAAGGCTGGAGTAGTGTATGAATTGGAATGCTTGAATTGTAAGGCGACATATATCGGAGAAAACGGGTAGATTGCTGAACGTCAGACTCAAAGAGCATTTAGCGGCTATGAGACGAGCGAATGCGATGTCACCTTTGGGAAGACATAGAATTGAAACGCACAACGGCGGTGAATTGGCGTTTAAATGTACTATCTTGTCATACGAGGCAGAGATTTCAGTGAGAAAGACCGTCGAAGCAGCGTGGATTCTTTTAGAAATCCTAGGCATGAATAACAGAAACGAATGCGTATCGATAACCAACCGAACTCTTGCCTATCTTAACGATCTGTGAGCGGTAGCCCTGCCCGTATATAAGTGTCGACCGCGCTGAGCAAAAATCAGTGTAGTCTGTCTCTCCAGTGCGGCTACGTACTGACTCTACTGACTCTCACTAACATAACGGTGGATTAAGGTTCGTTTCTCATCGCGTGTCCCAGTATGTTGATTGCGGGACGGGGTCTAGACTCGGCAGTGCGGGGAGGCGTTTGGCGGTCTGGTCTTGCAAAGATAATACTGCAATCTACTTTCAGGCCTCCGACGAAGACAAATTTGTCGAAAACGTAAGGCCAATAAAGAATTCCACCTTACAAACCTGGCATCTGGCCATAACATAGTATAGCCACTCGTATGGCTTCTTTTTTTGTGAGATGTTTTGTTTTTTTTTTGCAAATGTAAATCTCATCTAGAACTTTAACATCTAACCACAAGCGCTTCCTCTCTGCATGAGAGAAGGATGGTCATCGAACATTCCATATTACTTTTCGCTGGAAACAACACATGCGAAGTATCATATATAGCAGTGGCGTACCCAGGATTTCGGCTCGGGGGGGGGGGGGGGCGACAAAAATTTTTTTCTAAAGAAGGTGCGTGGCGTTAGCCATGCACTCCGGAAAATTTTTGGGGGTGCTTCCCAGAGTTTTTTCGGGTCCCCGACCCCTAAAATCTGGAAAAAGGGGGCGTGGCTGACGCCACGCCCCCGAAAAAAATTTTTTTACAAGGCTAATTTGAATTTTTAAAAATTTTTAAAAATTATTTTAATTATTTACAAAAATAAACAAGTCACTTTTTATAACCCATATAAGTAACTTTCAAAAATTTCGCGACCCATTCTCGGGGGGGGGGGGCGCGCGCCCCCCCCCCCTGCCCCCCCCCCCTCGGTACGCCACTGATATATAGTATGGAATAATTCCCATATGTCACCTCACCCTCTGTGTTAACATTTACTGTTCTCGCAATGCATTAATCTTCTCCTCTTCTTAATTGTCAAGAAAGTAGATGGTGACAGAATCTCGAATGTTCTTACTATAATTTCTAAAGCAGAATAGATATGCGATCTCGGTTTCTCAGGTATATGTGTAATCGTTCGCAGAATGGCAGACAAGAGCTCGCGCAGCACTCATTGTTGATATATGCCTACCCAGAGTTTTTTGCAGAGCCGAAAGCATGCCCTTAGATCTAAGGTATAGCTCACGGGATTCGGCCAAATCTCCACTTTCACGCGACTTGGCGATTTGCCAGATTTCTACAAATTTATCGTGCGCGCTTCTTGGACGTATATTTGGGTAGTTTGTGTAAGTTGTTGCAAACAGAGCACGTTCTGACCAAAGGCTACGCATTGACGACGATTTACAAAGAGTCGCTGTTGTGCCGAATCGCACAGCGACCGGAATCGTGTGAGGTATGCCTTAAGCCTTACGGTAACGAAGTAACGTATATGCTTACCAATGGTTGAAAGAGTGAACTCAAAAGTTCGTGAACTATTATGTTGGAAAAAAATTCTCGGACATTGCCTTTAGACAAAGTTTTTGTTTCGGACATGCTGCACACCGTTGGATAGAGGATAGCAATCTCTACAAAGCTACGGTAAGCGCAAACCTTATCAATGTTTTTAGTGAAAATTCAAGCGAAAATCCTAAAGCATAGGTTTTTGCCCTAACCCAGATCTCCAACTTCTATAAATGTTATAAAACCTCCACATGCTCCAATTTATGGTATACACATACACACTTACAAGGAAAGGAAGGTTGGTCGAAGTGGCCTTTTAAAATGAGATGTATACCGCCTTGTAGAACTTAGAAGGCTGATTTCAAATCTACCTTTGCTATCTGCTGCGGGCTTCTGGGCGAGGAGTGAAGGTTTTTATGAGTAAAAATCTGAATGCAAAAGTAGGCTAAAATCAGTCGTAACATTTTTTATAGGGCTTAATTGGTAGTCGGGTCACTCGGTGCAACAAATATTTTTGATTCAAATATACCAGCTTGCTGCTGCCTTATTTAAACATTGGGAAAAGGTTGTGACTGATTTTACCCTATTTTTGTATTTGGATTTTTACCCACAAAATCACAACTCCTCGCCCAGAAGCTCGCAGCAGATAGTAAAGGTAGATTTGGAATCAGCGTTCCAAGCTCTACAAGGTAGCATGCACCACATTTCAAAAGGCCACTTCGACCAACTTTTCTTCCCTTGTTAGATGCAGTGTTCGGATTAGATTTGAGCTCAAACAACAAGAAAAACGAGGTATTTGAGAAGTGGCAAACTCCGCTTCCATTAATTCCAGGCTCCTCCCACTTGCTTAAGTTTCAGCTACAGGCAAAAGAGAATACAGCCACAAATTTTTGCGCATGCACATGCATAAGATTTTGAGATATAACCGATTTGGTCTAAAAATGTCCCAGAACTTTCTTTCCAACCTAATAGTAACCGATTTTACGATGCTAACTTGCGACGGTAGAAGAACATTGGAAAATATAAGGTAAGCTGCATATGATTGGATAGAGCGGAAATAGAATAACGAAAATTGAATAGCGCTATCTTTGTTCTCAAAGCTGCTAGTGCATATTTCCTGAATTTGAAAGTTGAGGCCACCTAGTCGTCGTGGTTTGGTGACTGTCCCACCACCCCTCCAGCAGTGATACTTTGGGTGGTCTCACATGTTTCACTGCGCAGATACTGCTCAAACTTCATAGTTTATCGAAGTGACTAACTTTGCATTTCATCAAGTATAAAAATTATTAATCATGTAAATGACCTTATATAGGTATTGTTTGAAAGAGAATAACATATTCTAACTTTTAACACAATTGGAAAGTCTAATCACTTCTGGATGGAGGACTATATGTCGCCGAATGTGGAAGAGTCCGCGCGGATTTCCTACAGGAACCCATGTCCGCGCATATACAAGGGTGCGTAATTGTCGCAAATGACCGCAGGGACCGCCCTTTTTCGGCGACATATAGTCCTCTATCCATCACTTCACTTTCTTGAGAAATCTCCAGTTATTTCGTAAGTGGCCCATTTTTTACCGTTCACCCTAATAGTCGTCCTCCCCCCATCTCTCCCCCCCCCACTAGATACCTAGTGGACTAATTCGAATATAGAGCGCGCCGACTGCGGCAGGGCACGGCACACCATCACATGCATTTCAAGCTAATGTTTTTGTGTTTTATCGTCGTTGCATTGTGGTTTTTTTTGATTTAATGAAGATTTTAACCAGAATTGAAGAATTATTTGTTGCTTAGCGATGTTACGCACATTATGCTCGTTTCTTTACTCTGTTTTCAGGTAAGGTTGGAAGAACGAGCACATGGAGAGTTTTTGATATGGAGTTCAGTAAAGCAACACTTCAAGACTAATCGAGAAAGATTCCATCAGTTTCTAAATTTTATCTTTTTTTCAAGCTCAACTTAGAATCGTCGTCAAGGAAAGGAGCATAGCAGCACGATTCATTGCTCGAACGAAAACAACAACTTTAAGTAATCGAGAAAACTGTGAACATTAAAAATTAGGTTGGAACGTCGGAAGAACAAAAAAATTTGTCTGACAAGGGAAGGATACTTGGATGCCGTGGCTGTTTGAAATGAAATGTATACCATAAAATGCATCTCGAAATGCTGATTCTGAATCTGTGCTCGGAATCTGCGAAACGACTTTTTGAAGGAAGTTATGAACTTTTTTTCTCAAAAATTCAGCCTTCTTTCGGATAGTAGAAATCACCAGATATGATTTACCCTATCGTTTGATGCTACTGAAGAAAATTTTAGACGTAGTACTGTTTATTTAGACTATCAGAATCACAGTCAGCAGTTGAAAAGGAGAGAAAAATTTTTATTGATGATTTTGACCCTCTACAGTAACGCAATTATTTAATGAAAAAAAATCATAACTCCATTCAGGTTATCGTTTCGCAGATATGAAAGACAGTTTACGAACCAGCATTCAAAGGCCTATTTTTTGGTATACAAACCATTATGAATGGCCACGGCCCCCACTATCCTTCCCCTGTGAGATCGGAGTAAGAGCTGCGGGTGCCGCGCTCTGCCGTAACCGGCGCGCTCTAGTCGAAATTTGAATGTGTCCATGAGGCGTCCAGTGGGCGACTATAACAACATGGGCACAAGTTTGATATATGAAATCGACTGCGTACTGGCGGCAAAGGGAAGAAAAAAGCGCGAAAGATGGAAAGCGTGGGCGGGTGCACTCAACGTACTAAGAATGTGATGACTTTGCGCTTTTATGAACAAAAGCGAGCAGCGGCGGTTATGGGCTGCCGGCGTCTGTTATGGGCTGCTGGCGGCTGTTGGCACGGTATGAAAGCAACCTCAGATCTACCGCTAGGTCTTCTGCCTGGTGCTTCTATCACCAATGTTGTGCTTATAATGTGACCCTGCCTTCTGCACATGCCCATACCATCGTAGCTTCTTTTATGCATCTTTGCAAATGGAGCTACCCGTCTTAAGAATGCAGGTTTTTGGTCATTTACGATCAAATCGAATCTAACCACAAAGGTGCTGCAATAGTGCAATAATCAGCATTTTGAAATTGAAATAGTGAAGGCAAAACATTTCTTTGTGAGAAAAACCACACTAAAAAGTTTGAATTAGCGCCTTAGATTAGCGTCATCTCTGAAATTTGCTTATGCGGTAAATTAGGAGGGAGGGGATGCGAGAGAGAATAAGTGCGGGCTAAGCCTCAAATCTGTTGGGTAAGCATTAGCACCTTTATCCTTGAACATCGGAGAAAAGGCAAGCAGTTGCCAATTTTCTTCCATTTCATTTCTGGTTATCCTGTTATCAAGTGATCCTGTCTGGTTGTCCTGTTCCTGCACTCAAAAAAAGCAAAAAAAAATTTTGAATTTTTTTACATCAATTTTTGCTTCAATCTTAACCCTGCAAAAGTTCTAGGTCTTTTCATGGCATGTGGTGTTTTCGTATTGATCGTAAACTCAATTGCATCTCCTGAAAGCAGTGCACTCATTTCTGAGAATTCGAATCATGTAAGTATATTGTTTCAAAGGTGAGCCTTAAACGACAACTTCTTCTCCAAATTGAATCCGTCTTGACTTTTGATTCATCTTGCTGCACTACCGAGAACAGAAGATGCAGCATGCATCAATGGCACCGTACATCCAGATTCTCAATTTCCCATTATCGTCCCGGGGCCTTCTCAAGTCCCTGATCTCGTAGAAGTAATCCGCGAAAAAAAAATCCCGACAATCCCCGTTCCATGAAAGCCGCAGGCAGGCTTCCGGAACGGTTATTGGATGGGCGACCACATATGAGCGGGCCTTACTGGAGGAGGTGTGCCGCCGAAGAGTCTACTGCTCTCTTCGTTATTCGATTTTCTTGATTTCGAAGCGATATTTAGCGCCGCTATTTGGCATTGGCTTGATAAGGCGCCTTACTATCGTCTGCTGCCAAAAGCGCAGAATCCTGACTTAGAATGGACGCTGACGCTCAAACAACTATCAGATTTGACAACGAGACTAGTTAGAAGGCAGAGAATCTTTCAGTAGCTTCTTTTTGAATAAGAATGCTTGAAACATAGGGATAACAGAGTATGATATGAAGACGTTAACAAGCACTGATATATATGGTTTTATATGCATCACCTCCGCTTCGCGGAGGTTCGTACTGGCTCTGCTATCCGTATGACTTATTCGTGCTCCTATAATGATGACTATGACTATACCGCGCGAGGCTGTACGTCATAAATGAGTTGTAAACAACGGCTATTTTTGAAGCATCTCCATGTAAGAGCGGTAATTTTAAGATAGAAAACTCTTTTGCCAAGGAAGAAATGCGAATGAATAGGTTATTTGGTTAGGTAGGTTAATAGGTATATATATATATATATATATTAGGGTGTCCCGAAAGTTTTGTCGGTATTTTTCATTGCTCGCTAAAACTCACAGAACACCGATCCATAAACGGTCTAGGCACTATTTGATTCAGATTTTTATCCACTTTCTTTCAGTTATACTTGCTCTGTGGTTTACCCTATCTTTGCAATGTTATCGCCTTGGCTTTTTGAGCAGCTCAGCAGTAACGCTAAATCTTTCCTGAATTTTAGAATTTTTTATTCTGATGTTTTCGAAGAGCACTGGTAACTGTTTTGTGGAGCGAACCTTTGGCTACATTGTGTTCATTTTAGATTACATGAACCATGTTTACCAAGTCCGTTACAATTATTTACTTGGTAAAAACCGCGGCTTTTTGATTAAGTTTAACAAATAAAAGTAACAAAAATTCCAAAAAGCTGCTTTTTTAAAGCGAATCAAAGTTGGTTATGTTGCATAAATGATGTTTAGTAAGAATTATGTTTCGATACGCGGAAACCTCAAATGCTTTCTTGTATTTGCTGCAGATGCGTTTTTCATGACTTTGCCAAAAATCGAGACCTCCGGAGAAATAATTTTTTGAAACTAAAATCAGCAGATTAAGAGAATCTAAAAATACTAGCTTGTAGTCCGAGAGTTGCTCTATTTGATAGGTGCTTGATCCTTCCCGGAACTTTGTAATGAAATTTTTAAAAATTAGCCTAACTTTGAGCAGATAAAATTGACACGTGAAGAATTTTGGCTATTATCAAAAGAAGTATACAAGATTTTGGTACGAAAATGTATACACAAGAAAGAGAAGGAAAAGCTGCATCGAACACATGTTGAAACTCACTCAGGTCTTTATTGTTCGTGGTTTTACAGTAGCTTGAAAAAACCGACAAAACTTTCGGGACAACCTAATATATATATATATATATATATATATATATATATATATATATATATATATATTAGGTCATTCCGAAAGTAATTTCGCTTTTTTCAAACGGGCGCCACATCTGATGGAAATAAGGTTTCTAAGAGATCTTGGTAGCATTCGAAACAGCATTTCATTCTCTTTTTAATGGTTACGAAATTGTTGCAAAACAGTCAATGAGCTCTCAGAAAATAACCGAAATCTGCGACCCATGCTTTTTGAGATGGTCAAGTTTCACGATTTTTTAAAACTTTCATATCAATCCTCAGAAGGAGTTCAAGTAACGATTCGATAGAGTAAAGCTCATAGAATACAGTGCTACTTTTTCCCCTTTCTCGTAGCTCGCCGTAATTTTTTAAAAGATTTTTTAGCAGAACCATCGAATTTTGGCAGGTCCACTTCAACCACAATCGCATCAAACATCATAATTTCTCGGAGTTTGAGACTACCAAGATGGTAATATGAGTGAGCATTAATTTTACAAAGCAAGTGAGGGTTTACGGATTCGAAATATGAAATTTCGAGTTTTTCCGGTACAGCCTGGGGCTCCCTAAAAAAATGAGTTATGACGATTTTATCCCCGAAAACTAAACGAATCGGAAACAAAAAACACCCATCAGAAAGAGGAGAAAAAGCTGCATCGAATGACACCCGAGCTGCTCAAGGTTTGATGTTCTACTAGGATTTAGCTGCCCAAGTATGGAAATCGGTAGCATCAGTTAAAATTCTGTTAAAAATGTATGACAAGCTATGGAAAAGAGAAAAAAGTTGCTCTGTATTCTATGAGGCTTGCTCTATCGAACCCTCGCTTGAACTTCTTCTGTGAATTGATATGGAAGTTTTAAAAAATTGTGAAACTTGACTATTTCAAAAAGCATAGGTCGCAGATTTTGGTTATTTTCTGAAAGCTCATTGATTGTTTTGCAACAATTTTGCAACCATTAGAAAGAAAATGAAATGCTGTTTCGAATGCTGCCAAGATCTCTTAAAAACCTTAGTCCCATCAGATGTGGCGCCCGTTTGAAAAAAGCGAAATTACTTTCGGAATGACCTAATATATATATATATATATATATATATATATACACATACACACACATTTTTTACTTCCAACAGATCCGCAATTCACCAAACAAGTATTTGATACATCGGACATTATATCGTACAATTCCTGTGTTTTTTCTCTCCTAGAAATAAAAAAAAATTGACGGTAAGATAGCAAACTCCGCCCCTAAACACTCAAACACTCGTTATTTTGTTTCCTTATTTCTGCGGCGCAATCTCAACAATATTATGCCATACCAAACAGTCATAAGGCAAAGCTTCGATATCACCACAGTCGGGCTTCCTACCATACACATGACTAATTACGCTATGCATTGCTAAATACGACCGCGTATTTGTACCTTGTAGTGCTATCGTTTTCAAGATTTATTGATTTTGATTTTGCAATCGGAAAAGAATTAGATAGCCTAACATATACTTTCACTTAAACATAGTTGAAAAATTAGCGGATAATATACAATTATGCTATTCGTCAAGCGACAGAAGTGCTCAAAAGATTGCATAAGATGCTACACTTGCCATGTCCTATCTGTAGGGAGCAAAATTAAACCCTATGGTGTCTATAGGTACCGTATGTTCCAACAGTCTGTTTTTCTTGCAGACTTGGGGTATCATTCGATGGAGCAAAGCAAGCCTTACAAAATGTCCACCAAAGAGCCGTTTAAGTAGTAAACTAGGTAAAGTTCAGAGTCAAAATTTAAAAAACTTAACCACTTAAAAATTGGATTTTTGAGGAAAATCTTGTGGACCTTCAACTTGGACATAATATGAAATAAATTCAAGTAAACTTTGAATTTTTTAGCACATAGAAGGCAGATAGTCCAAAATTGGCACACTCGTCCCCTTCTCCTTCCAGTATGTTGTACAGCACAAGCTTGGATAAGTACTTTAAAATTTTACTTCCGTATACGCCCTGGTAATCGAAAAATATCAAATTCAACACATAAAGCACAAAAAGAGTGACATATTTGCAAAGAGTACGAAGATAATGGATTCATGACGAGGTTTATAGACGGTCGAAAGTAAATTGACATTTTCGCATCTGGCTATCTTAATCAATTTCAAGCTGAGTGCCACTATGTGTCTACTGTGTAAAGACTTAGTTGAAGGTCCAAAGCCTTAATTACTTACGAAGCCCCGCTTTCCATGCGCCGAGCCAGTTGAATCAAAGGGTATATATGTATGTGTATACATATATCCAAATGATAACTTTTATTTCTGAACCGATCCGCACCAAGCTTGGCACACATACACTTTGGAGTGGGCCCAGGGCTGCGCACAGGTGGTCTAAAGGGCAGGCTGGATATCGTTTTGGGGCTAACAAGCAAAGAAGATAGCGTTCTTTGCGAGTTGCGGAAAAGAGCAGCAAGCACGTCATCGGCATGCCTCTGGCATGCAGGCGGCACGCTTCATAATAGCGGTATCCTAAACCTAATGGCCGCAGAACCCCTCCTCTCCGTTTGGTTACAGCCCTCAAAGTTTTTAAATGCAGTTTCAGCAATGCTGCTCCAAGCGCTCGGTAGTGCGCGGCATATATACAGCATGTCGTCAAAGCAAATCATACAAACACCACGTTAATTTTTTTCATATTTTGGAATGGTCCAGTGCTCTATCTATTTTCATGTGTTTTTTTTCTATGAGCACCCCATAGGGCATGTCGTAGAAGTGCTGTGAAGTCAAAGGGGACTTCCTATGTTAGGGATTGCTAGGTCAACCTCGTGCCGACCCGTCTGTGGGTGGAACATGTGTTGCAGGCTACTTTTGGTCTTTGATCGATATCTATTTTATTATCTCTTGGAAAGTTTCACCTACTAGGCTGGGAGTTTGCACAACTGTAAGTTAGTATGCTAATTACGAAAATGTTATTGACAAGGCGGATAGAGCCGGGATTGCCAGGTAGTGTCTTTCAAAGTAAATGACGATTTATGACGAGTCACAGAGTTGGGCAGAGCCGGGTATGCCAATCAGTATCAAAAATTTTGAAAGTAGTCATGTCGCGCTTGTCGCTCAAAGTGTATTCTACAAAGGTCTATAACAGCAGCAGCAACATATTCCATACACGTAGGCTAACGAATTATAAACAAACTAGGTGGCTTACCCGGCTCCGCACGGTCCTGTCAAAACACTATGTTAAAGTTCCATTTCTACACTTGTGTCTCCTTGTGTACATTTCTACAAGCCAATTCCCTGCCCCCGCTGTGCTAGTTATCAGCATTCTCACTTACCTCCCTGTGTCAATTCCAAGCCCCGCAGCTCGAAATTCGCAAAAAATTGATGAAATCAGAGAAGTAACGGATAATTTTAAGAGCTAATATTGTATTCGTAATCTGCATGCCCCATCAACCATGTGCTATTGTATTGCTATTGTGCTATTGTATTTGTAATCAGTGTTCAAATACCCCCCTGTGTAACACCCAATCCTGTAGCTTGAACTTTGCAAAAAAATGATAAAAAACGATGAAATCGATATCGATCAATAACGAAAAGCAGCCCACGACACGCTCCCCGCCCCAAGTATATGTGTGCCAAGATTGGCCCAAGTCGGTTCAAAAAAATCTCTGTTTCGCAAATACCTACACACCAGTGGAGTACCGAGGGGGGGGAGCGGGGGCCCCCCCCCCCCCGAGAATGAGACGCAAGATTCTTGAAAGTTGCTTAAATGTGTTATAAAAATGTCCCGAGAAAATTTCGGAAAACATCCCAAAAAATTTTTCGGAATGCGTAGCTGACGCCACGCACCTTCATTAGAAAAAAATTTTTGTCGCCCCCCCCCCGAGCCGAAATCCTGGGTACGCCACTGGTACACACATACAGACATAGACAAACAAACAGGCACATATATAAGATTCGCAAAACTCAAAGAATTTGCTCTAGCTAGCTAGAGCTAGTAAAGCTTTTAGCATATCAATATTGAGAATCATATTGGCAATAAAATTTAATTTTAAGGGACGAAGAATAGAAAATGGAGCATCAGAATATCCTCTTCCAAAGGAAGCACTACATAGGATTCGAACAAGAACGGAAAACATTGCTATTGTAAGCATTATGAGCAAAGACTCCAACACAACGATGTACAAAACGGCATTGGAATCAATGAAGTGCTATGCGCTGCAAAACAACTACTCATTCTTATTATTGAACGGTGGAGATTTTGAGACAATTTGTAAACATGAAGATGTGGGTCTATTTGTCTCCCACATGATTACGCATGGAGCCATTGCTGAATCTATACGTTCAGATTATGTTCCAGCGCCACTGCATTGTCTCCAATATCCTTGAATTATATGATTTTACTTGGGTGCTCTTCGTGGACAGCGATATTGGAGTTGTAAACGAGAAAAAGTAAGTATGATTCGAGCTTTCCAGCGACAGTCAGCTCTAGTAGATCTTCCTGCGGCAGTATCGCCCTGTCTTTTAAAGCGTTTGCAAACGAGGGCATTTTCCCAGTTCAGCAGCGACTGAAGAATGACAAACAGGGAAAAATTATCGGCAGATATATTCGCGAGACAGGCGGGAAATAAAGTGAAGAAGCCGCAAAAACTCGATCCGCTAGAGCTTTGACATTGGCATTGAGACAGCATGTATGCCGCTTGGCAGCTCAGTCAAATATAGCTTTTGCAGGATGCTGGAAGACTATATCAAAGAAGATGCTCATGTCATTTTCTATGAACGGTTTTTCAACTTTGAGATAATGGCAGGTACAACTTGGTGATCGTAACAAACAGTAACAGTAACAAAACAGAATTGCTACTTACGAGATTTGATTTCGGATACAATACGACATGATACAATAGTGAATCCAAAACACTTTTTTACATGCAGCATGATAGCCCGAAGAACTTCTCTTGAATAATCCTTGCTGCTACAGAAGTCCTGGCTTCTCTAATGTGCGACAAAAATTACGTCCTAGTTTCTGAGGGAAAGTACACTTTAGATTGGTTCAAAATGATCTTAGACACCCATGCAGATAGCGTTCATTTTAGTAATAAGACACAAATACAGGTCTCCAATTTTAGCCATCATGAACAAAATCAATAGTGCCCGAAAGTGAAAACCCAGCCAACGTAAAAGCAAATCGTTTTTTAAAACTTTTCAAAGTTTAGCTTCAAAATTGGACATTGAAAAAACCAGAGAAGCTTACACCAAGAAAAATATTCCACGATGAAGTGTATGCATAAAAAAGAATTTCAAAGAGAAAGATCTATTATTTGCATCCTCTATCAAGTTTTCCTGCTTTCCTGCTCAGCGAATTGCAAGCAATACCTCACTCTATAATGCTGATAAGCCGTTTATCCAGCTATTTGTAAGAACAGGCACGAGTAGAAGAAGAACTTACTAAGTTCTGGCAGTTGTAATTATTCAGCTACATTGAGAACTTCTAAACAATATTTTGCATCACGTTGGATAGGTGACATGGATGTCTGGAAGGCCTGGAAAGCTTCTTGAAGACGGCTACAGGGCTTATCAATTGCAGAGTCGGGTGCAACAGCATCTTGCCTCCGCGTGGGTGCCTCGCTAGAACTCTGCACCTCTTTCGCGAAAATGTCCTTTTATCACTTTCCCACCACGAGTGTGGGAAAGGCGGGGCTTTCCTTGCTGGAGCTTGCGAGGATCACTAAAGAGCATGTTCGCAAAGAAGAAGCGCAGAGTCCAGGCAAGGCGGCCACGCGGGAGGAAAATGCTGGTGCACTGATTCTGCAATTGAGAAGTCCTGCATACGTTCATTAAAGGCAGCGTCCAGGAAACCTGGACCTACGGGATCTCACGTGCAGAGTAATTTTGAGGCCCTGACTAAGATACTGCATAAGTAGCAGCCGAATAATTCGCTGACGGCTGAGATATTCGCCTCCAAAATGGACCCTAGGATGGTACCAATGGATAACTTGCATCATGCTTGCATGTTTTCGCGCGCGAGGTCCCACACAAAACTGATGGGCGTCGAATGGAACCAAGCGAGCGAGTCGTTCGCTATATGATCCTGGATTGTTTAGAGGTGAATGTCTCAGCCGACAAAATCATGGGGCGAGATCTGGCAGTCATGTGTATTTTTTAGATACGTGTAATCTACCTTGTATGCCACGGGATGCTCTTGAAGAAGTTGAAGGCATTTGTAAGTGTGGAGCAATTAGAGTTGTGATCATAATGTGCATTAAACTCCAGTTTGGGAGCGCATGATTGGTAAGATGTGAGCGTGCTTATTACAAAAACGCACATGACAACAGAAATGTAAATACCCTAAAGTCTTACAGATAAGTCCGCCTACGATATGTTCGGACTTATCTGGCAGATTTCAGGGTAGTTATAATGGAAAGAAAGCGGACTTATCTCATGGGAGGACTTATCTGTGAGATTTCAGGGTAAGTGCTTTTAAACAACTAATTCTCAAAAGGGGGTCACTAAGGGTTTGCCATATCTGGACTAAGCGCCCGTAACTTGCAGAAAACGGCACAGCAGTATGAAGGGTAGATTTGAATTCAGTTCAATAAGACTCATTCGCTAAGCATTTCACCCCAGATCGTCTCTAGGATTTGTCCTTCTCTAGTTAGCTAAGGTCTTTATTGCAACGGTAAGAATCCCAGCACTTTCCCACTTCCCTTGTGTTTCCATGACGCTGCCTTCAACAATGTTGTCTTTCTCACAGAACTGTGAACGGTTCGCAACATACGATTTCTGTCAAAAGTAAAATACGCTTTTCCAAAGGAAGCCATGACTTGCGTTTAAGTTCCTTGGAAGAAATATTGCAAAGGTATTTCGGTTTCAATGATATTCGTTTAAAGTCTTCCAAACGTCAGATTAGGTTAGAAGGATAACTTAGCGCCTGTTTGACAAGCAAAAAAAGAGCTTTTTGATTTTGAAAGTTGCTTTGAACACGAAAGATTCATGAAATAACCGTTTTGAATGTACACATAGGATACAGGCGTCAGTTGCAATATCGGCCATTAAAGATCTAATGTTGTTGGATAAAGTGAAGCTGATTGAATGCTAAAACTGCAGATATCAGATAAATAAGTTGATAACTAGTAATTTCCGAGTTCTCTCTTCTTTGAACCTAGGCATCTTGATGTATTCGTTCTAAGTCATTTGTGCCAGATCCAGGTTAGTACAGTGCTATCATTTATTGATCTTACGTTTCGACAAAGTCATCGTCTTCGGAGGTTTGAAGTAGATTGCAATTATTCATCTGCGAGATAAGACCGCCAAACGCATTTCCCAAACATCAGTCAGTCTGGGACGCGTTCCCAGGGCAACGTTCTGAGTCACACGGTGATGTAGTAGAAACTGGCCTATGTTCCACCGCGGTGTTGGTGAGTTAGTCAGTAGCCGCACAAAGTAGAAGGGCGACACTGAACATTGCTCAGCAGAATGATTTTATATACATGCAGGCTTTAGCCCACATATCGACGGGAATGGCATGAGTTCGGTCGTCAATAAGCCTTCATTTTTGTTATTCATATGGATTCTTGGCAGAAATCCGTGCTGCTTCTATAGTTTTTCGTGCTATAATGTCTGCCTCGTACGATTAAATTGTGCAGTTTACATCAAAATCACCACCATTATGTACTTCTATTGTATGCATTCCTAACGGCGACAACTCGCCCGCCTTTTATTCGCTGAATGCTCCTTGATTTTAACTTTCAACGTCCCACCCGTTTCACCAATATATAGTGTACCGCAGCTTACACATTCTAGTTGGTAAACAACTCCTACCTTCGCAAACTGAAAACTGATATAAACTGACATAAACTGTACACCATATACCTGTCTACAATATGTGACCAAATTTTTAGGCACCTATTTTGCTAAAAAGTCCGCTTTTTCTATAAAATTCTTACGTGGTTGGGCCGACTATGAATTCCGTCTTCCAAAAAGCTTTCACGGGAGGGACAATGGAGCTTTGCATGTGAGTATATTTTCAAGCCCAGCATTTTCTATATGAACGACACAATGCCCAAATTTATCTAAAATGGAGTAAGTGCACCTTGCATCTACATTCCACTTTCACAAAACGTTAGACTGTTGTACAGGGTGTCCCAAAAAATGTACACACTGTTTGATTGTAAATAACTGTCTTGTAGTGAAGTGTTTCGAGAAGCTTCAGGTACCATTTTGTAGAGCGAAGTTCAACTTAGATTTGCAGTGTAGAGCGAGTCGCCTATTATTCTTACTGTAGGAGTACGGTAGAAACTTCAAACATGTGGTGTCACTGTAAAAAAAGCGGCCGTTTCAAAAATTTCCAGAAAAAAATGTGGAAATTTGTGTAATAGAGTTTCTATGGACCCTGAGTTCAATACCCAACTCTTTACAAGGTTGAGAAACTTTCTAAACGGTTAACCACCCTTTTTAGGAACACTTAAAAAACGTCTGCTACTGCTTAACTCGCATAATTTTTTAACGGAGCATTACGAAGAGTTGCGAAGTTCACATTTAGAATCAGCAGCTCTAGTTAGCCCAGTGTGAGAGTTTTCAGGTTGTTTTGGTTTCTTTTTGGAACAAAATATGGCCTTTCATGGCTCAAAACCCTCTTCAAAGTTTCTACAATAATCCTACAGTTAGAATGAGAGGCGATCCGCTCTACACTGTGCATCTAAGGTGAACCTCGCTCTACAAAATGGTACCTAAAGCTTCTCAAAACACTTCACTACAAAAGAGTTATTTACAATCAAACAGTGTGCACATTTTTCTGGGACATTCTGTATAATGATGTTATCGTCTTAAAGAAACGGCATTTATTTTGGAACTGATTGGCTTCCCCAGTCCAGCCAGGGGCATTGTTCACCTGCACTGCAAGCCCCCCCCCCCTTTATAGGTTAACTAGCTGGCTTACCCGGCTCCGCCGTATGTTCCGAATAGAAAATTCCATTTCTTAACCGATCCGGACCAAACTTGGCACACATACACTTCGGGCCCCGGCGGATGTCACAGTCCACTTTTCGTTATCGATCGATGTCGATTTTATCGATTTTCTGCAAAATTTGAGCTAGGGGGCTGGAATTTGGCAGGGGGGTGTAGAGCATGCTGATCACCTCCACGGGGGTGATCAGCATGCTCGATTACCCCCCTGTGCCAACTCCCAGCCCCGTAGCTTAAATTTTGCAAAAAATCGATAAAATCGATACCGATCGGTGACGGAAAGTAGCCTATGACACCCGCCGGGGCCCGAAGTGTATGTGTGCCAAGTTTGGTCCCGATCGGTTCAGAAATGGAATTTTTTATTCGGAACATACGTACGTACAGACAGACAGACAGACATACATACATACAGACATACAAACAGACATTCAGCTTTATATAAAAGATGGATGACTTACCTGGGACACCGCTTCGAAACCACATCCTCATGATCCTGAGGTGAAGATGAACTTTACAGCCCTCCTTTACAAGGCTATGAGAAAATGCTTGATTAAACATGATAAGCCTTCAGTTCTCTAGAAAAACGTAAACAAACTAATAAATCGATAGAAGGACCCAACGAATCACCGCAAAAAGTATCGTCGACTCTAAAAATCGTGACGACGGTTTGCAGTGCGGCCAGTGCGCGCCGCACGGCACTGCCGCCTAGTGATTCGCCCAAATTACGTTGAGAAGGTGAGTTCTTGTGGTTTTTCTTTTTCTTTTTGCATCTTTTTTGCTTGCAGGAACTTTCATGGCTACCGCAGGGAGCCTACACTGCTGAGAAGCAAGATTGCCTTACGTTAAAAGGGCAGTGCCGTGCGGCGCGCACTGGCCGCACTGCAGACCATCGTCACGATTTTTGGAGTCGACGATAGCCTATCTTTTGCGCAGAGGCCCAAAACATACAGTGACCGCCAAAAAGTTGCGGAAAAGCCTCGCTCCCTTTTTCATCGCTCTATTTCAGAAGGAAAACAAGGATAAAGAAATGTAGTAATTGCATGAGGTGATAGAGCTCTTCAACATCTACAATCTACACTTTGCGTTTTTCGAAAAACATGTATTCAAAAAACTTTAAAAAACTTTTTCTAAAAAAAGTCCGAAAATGGTCGCGTCACAATGTCGCGGACAATAATTCTTCGAACGCAAAAATTTTCTTTTGAGTCCTATTCTGAAGCGGAAACACAAGTAATCCAAACGGGTAAGCATACTACTATACAGAGTCGTCAAGAACTACACACTGGTTATGGTTGCTTCCCAAAAAACACAAGCTTGATTTTTATTTTGCTTTTTTTTTCAAAAATAACTTCTAATTCTCCTTTTTAAGCCAAGTATCTTCACATGGAAACCTATTCACGACATTCCAACAACTCTGTTCGGATAAAGTAGATGCTCTTTACCATTCTCCATGCATCTGACGTGTGCTGATGAGTTTCTTTGGTGAAAATGGCTCTTGGCAGTGCTTGCACATGACCCCACCTGCACCTCACCACTGACTTGTACCGCTTTGCAGGCTTGTAACTCGGCTTGTAGTCAATCTATGAGCCTGCAATTAGGCCCATTCGAAAGAACGAGACCTCCTCTACACGATGGTATGCAAAAGAGGTGGGTATAAGAAACAGCGGAGATTTGGCGGATGGGGTGGAAAAATGCGGCCTCAGTGGTGGTTGGAGTTAAGGCTCTTATCAACATCAAAACAGTTCTAGAGCTTCAAAATGGATCTATTACAAGAACGTTGACAGTTTTAAGCTTCCAGTATTGAACTGGTAGCGAAAGAAGCTCTATTCAACTTTAGCTGGATATCCTCACCCTACCACTGAGGCCGCATTTTTCCACCCCATCCGCCAAATCTCCGCTGTTTCTTATACCCACCTCTTTTGCATACCATCGTGTAGAGGAGGTCTCGTTCTTTCGAATGAGCCTAATTGCAGGCTCACAGATTGACTACAAGCCGAGTTACAAGCCTGCAAAGCGGTACAAGTCAGTGGTGAGGTGCAGGTGGGGTCATGTGCAAGCACTGCCAAGAGCCATTTTCACCAAAGAAACTCATCAGCACACGTCAGATGCATGGAGAATGGTAAAGAGCATCTACTTTATCCGAACAGAGTTGTTGGAATGTCGTGAGTAGGTTTCCATGTAAAGAAACTTGGCTTAAAAAGGAGAATTAGAAGTTATTTTTGAAAAAAAAGCAAAATAAAAATCAAGCTTGTGTTTTTTGGGAAGCAACCATAACCAGTGTGTAGTTCTTGACGACTCTGTATAGTAGTATGCTTACCCGTTTGGATTACTTGTGTTTCCGCTTCAGAATAGGACTCAAAAGAAAATTTTTGCGTTCGAAGAATTATTGTCCGCGACATTGTGACGCGGCCATTTTCGGACTTTTTTTAGAAAAAGTTTTTTAAAGTTTTTTGAATACATGTTTTTCGAAAAACGCAAAGTGTAGATTGTAGATGCTGAAGAGCTCTATCACCCCATGCAATTACTACATTTTTTTATCCTTGTTTTCCTTCTGAAATAGAGCGATGAAAAAGGGAGGGAGGCTTGTCCGCAACTTTTTGGCGGTCACTGTATGTGTGCAAAGTTTCAGCTGAATCGGTTGAGCGGCGCGCATTTCTATAACGCACATACCGTCCAAACTGACAATTTTTAAGTTTTATGTACATATAGATAAAGCTTTGATTGAAGATGTGGCTGTTGGAATTACTCGCTCCCAATTCACCGTTTGCACCAAAATGCTGGAAGCTGTGGAGAAACTCATTAAGCTGGAAAACCTTGAACCGCTTCACTCTGTGCTGTAGAGAAGCGTTTAGAAATGGAACAACCTCTTCTATTGTCATCTATAAGAAGGTAAATTTTTGAGGCTACGTATCTTTCGGATTAATTTTCGTTTCTCCTATGAAGGTTGTTATGGTCATTTGTCATAGATTTCTGTATGGATATTGTTTCCTTTTCAATACAAAGAAACTTGCGTCCATATAACGATTGTAGAGCAACTCACTCATCGACTAGCTGGATACTTCGTTTTGGACCTTGTCCATTACCATGATAAAACTCATCAATCCTCCTTTTTTAAACAGCATCTTCCTGTCTCTGTCGCACTTCTATATGCCAGTCTCCTGCCCTCAGTGTTTACGTGATCACAATGTCACCTACCCCCTCCCCTGCACATCCCAGCTCCAAAGTCAAAGTTTGCAGAAAAAACTGATCAAACCACTGAATGTAGTCAGTTTTTCAAATGAGTACTTTCATATCCAACATGCCCACTTACTCCGTGCCAACTTCCAGCGCCGCCTTAGAAGTCTTCGAAATAATGATAAAAACGATGAAGGTAATCGGTAAATCTGAAGACCACAATGCATTCGTATTTAGCATGCCCACTTGCCCCACTATGCCAATCGGCGCGACCTCAAAATTTGCACCTTCAACCAAAAATTGGCAAATAGCATACATGCCTGCAAACCTGGCGAGAATTTGCGATTTCAGAGCTTGAATTTGCGATTGCGCTTTTTGATTCTCTTCAATACTTTGTCAAGTTGCGAAGGGAAAAGGTTGGTAAGAAAGTTTTCAAACATTTTCATACTGGAATTACTATTTCTCGGGTGGCAATGCACGTACGAGCGTGAAAATCTGTAGCTGTGCTCTCATAGGTATGCGGCTTATACATGTGCAGGTGGGAGGTGCTTAGGTTCAGAGGGGCGGAGTTTGCCAGTTTTCAATTACCTGATTATTCCTTCTAATTAAGCTCGAACTCCATACAAATTTTGCATATATGTGAGTTGATGTCTACTATATAATGGAGTATCTGTGAGGTCACAGGGTGCACGGAAAGTAGAGATCTAAGTAAGCTCTGTCAAAATCCAATGTCTTCAAATTTTCACCTCTATCTCGATAGAATTCGTTGGTTATGCTCATAATTAGTGTGGTCTTGTAGAGCTTCTTTCCTCTCTTTAATGATGTGTCGCATGCATTATCTGGTGTTCGCATCGAAGCAAAAGCTTTGTCTAAATGCAA